ACTGTATGCGCAATAAGAAAATCAAATTTTTTTAAATGTGTCCACATCTAATTATACTACAAATAAAAAAATCAATCAAACTAAACTGTTTTTATTGCTATTGATTTGTTTACAAAAAATGTTCAATATCATGAGTAGCATATCAAAGTTTCATAATTACTAAGCATATTTTTATCTTGAACAAGGCCACAGTAGCAGGGTACTTCTTAGCATTGAACTCACTTCACCTGCAAATTGGCTTGACTAACTTACTAACCATCACAACAGGAATATATACTGTGGGCTTGACTTTTGTTCCAGAATGTGAGACATTCAAGGAATTAGCTGCAGCAAATATTGATTGGTTAATTTTTTTCTGTGCTGGGCTTTGATTGGCCAGATTGATGATGTACTAGGATTCAATTTGATCACTTATTTAGAGTTGTTTTATTGGAAGCATGAAGGTCTTTACTTCTGTTGAATTGCCGGTATTGTATATCATTTTGAGGTAAGTTTCATAGGTTATTTTCAGTGAATTATCCGGGAACTATCTAAGAATCATCCACGCATAAAGTGGGAGTCCTACACATATATAGAACTAGGGACAAAGGTTCCTTGTGTACTCTCAGCATTTCCCCTTTTGGGGACCTCTAAGACAACAGAGATTAACACTAACCCCCTCATAAAGAAGAGGTACTCTCTAGGAAGATGGACCAGTGGCATTTGAGAACTCAGCAATTAATGCTTCAAAGCCAAAAAACAGAGAAACAATGATGTGCAAAGAATCATCTAAGATGAATCTACTCAGTATGTTCATTGTCTCTGTAGGTCTCTTTATATATTGTCCTAATAGCCAACCATATATGATTGAATGAAACAGAACATTGAGTGAGTAGGAGGGGGGTGATATCCAACAGATTTGTAAAACTCTTTTAGAGTCAGCACATCACAATCCTGTTTAGTGATGGGTTTCATACATACAAGGTCTGTTCAGAATAAATCCAGCCCTTTTAAATATCTTGAGAACCAATTGTGGGTCCTTGGTCTAACTTGATAAGCAGTCAGAGAGGATCTTACTGCATATGAATGGATTCACATTGTCTTGATGGGTTATGCAGTCAGTGGTAAGATACAACTGAGTGTGTTTGTTTGTTGTGTGATCACTGCCTCCACAATGACCAAGTGACTAGATTTTTCATATCCCATAAAGGAATTATTGGCAAAACATTATATTGTCAATGTTCACTGCTCCACCTACAATCATAATTTGGCTCTCTGGGGTTTTGGGCCATTCTCAAAGATATGGTCACCACTGAAATATGATAGAAGTCTTATCCATGGTATTTCAATGGTATTTCAATTTCTGTGAACAATCTCAAAAGATTACTTTGTAGACTTATAGCTAAAAGGCTATTTATACCAAATATACACTGGAGCATTTTTATGACTGCTTGAAAGTGTAGTGCCAATCTTTAAAATCTTAGCATTACTCCAACTTAAATACCAACTCCTAACACTAGATAAAACTCATTACAATTTCAGCCATTAAACTCTCACATCTGTACATTATACATACCTATATTTTTTTATATACATTCTTTATATAATATATTACTTTTCCCAAGAACTGCCACTTAGCAGAGCTGACTCCCACATGGTGCTTCCTTGAACACTATAAACATCTACAGACTATACACATTACTCACTCTTTAACTGACCAACAAAATAAGTACAACTTTTTCTTTTTTCTTTCTAGAGAGACACTCTGAACAACATTCCTGGAATTCACACTTTCTTTCAGGAACATTCCTTGAAATTTTCTCTACACTAAAATGTTCCTGACTGAATAAATATTTTATCAACCAATTCAATACTTTTAGTTTTTTCATCAACGCTGATACTTTCTCAACTTCAAACAATATCCCCTAACCTAATAACAACATCCTCATAATCCTCAGTTCATTTCACCTCCTCTTGCACACTTTATTCAGTAATCCTCTACTTTCAGTTACTCTCAAGCCTTGTATTGGATGAACATTGGTATAAAAAATGTGTTGCTTTTTTTGTTACAATTTTTGTTTAGAGTTTTTCAATGATTGAAATAAAATACTTTTTTATTGCCAATTCTTTCTAACAGTTTCTAATGTTTTCGAATATATACAATTCATGTAGCCATGAAAATAAATAAATTATCTGATTTTTCTAAAGAAAACAATAATACAATATTAACATTATTGTTGTTCAGTCAGTCACATTGCACAAACAAGTGTTTTCAAATAATTTTCTATGACAATTTGTAGCAAAAATTCACAGCTGTCTCAACAATTAATATCCAATAAGCACAAACATTAACTAAAATTATTTGAGTGAAATTTCACTGGTAAATAAAAATTCATAGATATTGTTGGAGTTTTTTTGTCTCATTGTTAGTTTCTTATATACACTTATCTTTCTTAAAGATTCCATCAGATCATTAAATCAGAAAGAAAATACAGAGAGAAAATATCAGCTTATATTGCAAATTATAGAGATTATTCTGAATGAATGATTTTACTAGACCTATCAACCAGAAAATTTTAATGCCTGGAGATTTACATTTCTAATTTCATAAAAACAAAGGGAGAAATGGAAGGATTTCAAAAACTGACCAAAAATATTAGCACTAATACTTTATTCTTCATATTCACAGCAGTCATTTTCAACAGATGCATGTCATTAACCCAGTTCAGGCCAAGGTTTCATTTGTAAACAAACCTCCATTTTGGTAAATCTGTTATCAAAAAATCATGGTCGAAAACAGTGAAACAGTTTTCAAAAATACATGCAGATTGAATAGGTTGTATTTTCAATTGACAGCTCTTTTAGTAAAGAAAGCTTAATAATTTATTTATTAGGAGAATCTTGTAATCCTGTCATATTTGACAAAAGACCAACACTCAACATTTAACCAGTAAAATACTAGTTATGAACCAAGAGACTTGGATAAAGAGTTAAAACTAGGAATTTTCCATTGCTACCGAGAGAGTTAGCATGTTTTTTTTCCAGTGTATCAATTTTTTATCAAGCATATCTAAATCTAAATTCAAGCAAGTAAAGATACAAAAAAAAGAAAATTCAACCAATTTATTGCAAACATTATTGTATTTTTTATTTATCCTTTATTAGATGAAGCATGCTTTACTAGTATTTTCTTTTATCTCAATCCCTTTTATGGATATCCATATGGCATAGTGGTTATTGGGGTTGAAAGTGGAATTGACATGCCAAGTTCAAATTCCAGTCAAGTTCATTTTGTTCACTTTGAAACAAATATCCAAGGTATGAATCTATCACTTCTCCCTCTAACTATGAGTTAAATAGCAGAGCAGAATTAGCTCTCTAGCCTTGGTTGGTACAAGGTCAAGAAGGACAACTCTGAATTTAAAAGGCATGAGGCTGGCAACACCACCTGTAAAAACCTACTTGCTACAGAAAAAAGCAATAGTAACACCAAATGTAGTGAGTTTGTGGCAGGGGAGTCTAATAGTACTGAGGAAAAGAAAGAATGGAATTCTTTTCAGTTTCATTTTATCATAACTTTACTGAGACTGTCATTCTGGAGCAAAGAGTAAAATTGTTCTGGTTCAAGGTAAAGAATGAGTATAACTAGTTTTCATTGAGACTGGATTATACATTCCTTTTGATTCAAGGAAGCCTGATTAAATACTTTAGCTGCTCCACCTTAGATAGAAAAAATTCAAAAACTCAAATCTGCCCTATAAACTGTTCATTCCTTCCTAATCCTCCTCAGAGTGCCATGTTTATTTTTTTAAGTAGTATTATCAGGAATTTTATTTCTATTTATATAAACAAAAATAAAAGAAGAATTCAAATGAAAAGATATTAATCAAGACTTGGTAGTCATGATAAATATATATCATTGATTTTTATAAACATTTACCATGTGTTCCGATATTATATGTAAATCACAGTTCTCAACTTATCCCCTGGATGACATGTCATAAATTTTTAATAAAAAGTTGGGGTGCAATGTTAAGTAGTTCTGTGTAATAATAAACAATTAGTAGTCATTTTAGTGATATCATTTATTTCACATAATTCTGAATCATATGCAATATGGGTCATAAAACATTTTTTAGCAATAATAAAGTAAAAAATTTTAAGTGCCTTATGAAAGAAAAGCAACAGTGAAAATTGCTAAAAGTCTTGCAAGAAACAATCAAGAAATTAATCTTGAACCCAGCTGCATGTGTCGGCAAAGGGAAGATATGAATATGTTTGTCTTTTATTCAACACATCTGATGAGAGAGATGCATAAGCAACCACTGAATAATGGCAAAGAGTTATTTGCTATTAGAGCATCAGCATTTAGAAATGGGCAGTAAACACATTGTTCTCCACCACAGAAGACGAATCACCATGCTAAACATGTTTGCTAGCCAGATTGCATTTGAAATTAGATTTTCTTTGTCTGTTATTCACGGATGAGTACAGGGCAATGGTGGATGGTACTGACATTTGGTGAAGAGGATGGTGCCTGAAAGACAAACTCATTGACGGAGGCGAAGGAGTCATGTTTTAGGTGGAAATTATTGGCAATAGGTTGGTTGCTGATGATGTCAAAATGAACTCTCCTGTACTGAAGCCATTAATATCTGTGACAGGAAAAAACTCTCTGGCCACAACATCTGATAAGAATCTTTATTATCTCTTCCAACATTCTTTTCTCCCACACAGGTTTTGATTGATTCATTAATTTTCTAAAGCTTATCAACTCTTGTCAGGTTATTTAAAACCAGAAAATATTTTTAGATTGTAAGAATTTGGTGGTGGTGGGGGAGAGAAAATAATGATTTAGAAATACAAGACTTACCTATAGCTGGTGGGAGAAGAGGTGGATTCATACCTTTCCCAAGGGTATTTGTGCATAAGTGAATATAACAAACCCAACTGGAATTAGAACTCAGCTGTCCGATTAATAATTCTGAGCCATTATTCATTATACTACCTATACATCCAAGCTTACAGCACCTGGTATTCCCAAGTGGTCACCCATCTAGGTACTGACCAGGCTTGATGTTGTTTAACTTTGATGATCTTACAGGAATCAGTGTTTCAATGGGATGTGGCTGTAAGCCTACAAAGGTTTATCTCTCATTCCATCCTGAGGATGTCAACTATAAATTGTGAATAGTTGAATAGCTTTTCCATTTTGTCATATTATCTTCAATTTTGTTTTGATGTTATTCTACATCCTACTAACACAAAATGCATATCATATAAATAAGTGTATCTTACCAACTTTGATTGGTTAGTGTCAATTTTATAGCAAAAAACATTGACTTGCATAATAAAATCTGACAGTGTAGAGTCATTTAAGATCAGAAGGTTAACAAAAAGATTGTGAACAGATTTAGTGATGGAAAAGCATGTTTATAGATTTTTAGGAATAGAAAAGAACTACACATACATTCAGTGTAATACAAAGTATTTCATTTACATTACAGATTTTTGGTTTGATATCAGTGAACCCATAAGAATAAAGATGTCTTCAGGAGAGAAAGTGTGGCCTCAGAAATATGGATTCAAGATTGTTGGCAATGGTCCAACATTTATTTCATCAGTAGAGCCAAACAGTGAGGCTGCAGAATGTGGTCTTGTTCCTGGTGACAGATTAATGGAACTTGATGGGCATGATATATCAAAACTCTCTGCAGATGTATTGACAATTTTGATGAAAGAGACAAACAGTCATCCTCCAGCAGTTGGGATTGTGCCTAGTGTGTGCCATATTTATTTGACCTGTAATAGTCCTCAGAGATGTGGGTTCAGTGTGACTACCAAAAAGCCCATTACTGTTAGCCATGTAGAACCAACAGGAATAGCATTTGCAGCAGGCCTAAGGAAAGGTAAGAATAAAATTGATATTTTATATACATAATAATACCTACTATATATAAAGGGTGTTTCATTAAGACGGATCAAAGTCAGCAGTAAATAAATCAGTGTTATTGGTGAAAATTTATTTATTTCTCTATTGGATTATATTATTTAAGTCATGTTATGTGTGAAAAATAATATCACCCAAATGTCCGCCAAGGCTTTGGTGGCACATGATGATCAAATGACATCTCCACATAGTTGCTTCTCGATATCACCAATATGCCTTATTATCTCATCCTTCAGCTGTTGAATTGTTGTTGGCTTGTTGGCATAGACCTTGCTTTTGAGATGACCCCAAAGGAAGAAATCTAAAGGTGTTAAGTCACACAGTCATAGTGGCCAATCGACTTCACTGTTTCAAGAGATGATGTGACCTGGGAACTTCTCAATGTATTTCTTTTTGAATATCCATTTTCATAATAGGCTTCAATGACTTTAACACATTGTTTTATTGTTAATCTTTCCATTGTTAAAATTGCCAAAGACTTAAGTTATTAAATCTGAAAGAAAAAGAAAAGCCTTAAACTTAATTCATATTTGACACTTAAACTTAATTTATATTGAAAATCAGTCCAAGTTATTGGAACACCTTTTACACACACACACATATAATAAAAATACAGTTTTAAGTTATGCTATATTTTTGGTTTAAAGGGCTCAATATCAGAAATAACAGTAGTCATTGAAGTCAACACCCAGTAGCAACAGTCTGTCTCATGCTTAAACACAATCTTACAACCATGTGCGTTGTGTTTTGGTTCAACTATTTTGAATATGTTGGTCAATGGTACTTTATGTGTGGAAGGGCTATTGTATTATCCTAATGGTTATTGGATGGGTGGTAATGGTTATGTTTTAAATTATTCTAGAAGCTATTGAGGATCAAAATGCAGTTATTTGTAGCTATTTTTATTGTTGTTTGATTAACTTTTTTTTAATCATTATTTATTATTGATTACTTTATTATTTGTTGCTGTTATTGTTACGTTTACTTGTGTTTATGCATGCATTCATAGTTTGTTAATTTGTTTATTATTTACTTAATTTGCTTACTTATTTATTGATTTAGATTTTTTGTTTATTTTATTTTACTTATTATTTTTCATATTCGTTTTCAGTTTTTCAATTTGTTTCAAAAACAAATTTTTACTACATTATTTTATAATGTAGTAAAAATTTTTTGTGTTTTGTTCTTTGTTTTTGTGTTTGAGTTTTGATTGTTTATTTTGTAATTTTTATTGGTTTAGGAAGGTAGTTATAGACATTTTCTCCTCAAAACAGACTTTACAGTTTGGGATTTTATTGTAGTAGGCTGATGTTGCTTTCCTTATTTTCGATAATATTTTTGGCACAATATGCTTTTTTTTAAATTTCTCATATATGTTTAGAAAGCATTGTGCTTCTAAATCACAATTCTTTCTAAACATATATGGGAAATTAAATCATAAAACATGGCCTGAAGATTGTGTTTAAGCATGAAACAGACTGAACTATTTCAATTTGTCCATTATTTTATTCAGAAAATAAATAAGAAAATTTGTTTTCTTGAATAAACTAATTTATATAAAGATCAAAGACAAGGAATGTATTTTTAATTTACAAGTTAATTTTTCTTGTTTTTATTCAAGAAAGTGTATGTCTGGATCTAGGGAATGTAAGTATTACCCAAATGTTTGAGATGTAAACCTTTTGAGCATATTTATAGGAAGGAAAATGAATGTTAATTGATATTTAAATATTTCATTTTTTTAACTGGCATTATATTTAGCATTTGTGCTTTTTGATGATATAACATACAGGGTCTGATCAAAAAGTATCAGGACTATTACTATAAAAAGAAAGCTATAACACTTCAGCATTTAATCTCTGTTATGGAGGGATTTCACAGTGGAGGCTTGTATTTGTACTAAGTCGGTCCTAAAATAGGTTCGACGTACAAAACATTAGAAACTTCATATAATAGGTATGATGCAGAGTAATCTAGTTGTGGTCGCTGATACTTTAGTATCCGACTAACAGTTGTCCGGCATCAACTAACTGACCGACCCACTGAGCGACTCCTAGTAACTATTAATACTCCTACTTATTATAGGTGGGAGAATCTATTAACTATAGAATAGATGTGTTTCACTATAACATCCCCACCTAAATCTTTACTCCATAGGAGTAAACAGCTTTATTTATTTATTTTTCATTGTTTACAGGAAATATGAAGAAAAAACAACAAAAAAAATTCTTTTTTTTTTTTTTTTCAGCAACATCATAGCATATCTCCTACGTTTTTTGATCCACTTTTAAATGATCAGTTGCCTTTCTTTTTTCTTCTGGATTGGCGTACCTCAGGTAAAATTGTTGCAGGCATTGTTAGATCAAACGTATTGAAAATCACCTCCATCGGGGTTTTTTCCGGGGGACTGCTGTCAACCACATCTGAAAAACGTTGCCTGATCTAGTTACAGCATATAGCCAATCCACTTTCCTATTTTTTTGGTACCTCCAAAGTGTTACCAGAAACAACCTTCCACTTTGTGCTTCTTAAGGATGGAGTTACAGTTTCTGTAGGTTCTTCTTGTGGTTCTATTTGTTCAGCCTCTAGCTTCCCTTTGTTGATCTTGTGCTTCTTAACGTTTTCTGTAGTGACTTCAGTTGATTTAAATCATTTAATAATACTGCATGTCCTTGGCTGCGGGTAACTCGCACCCCAGTTTTTCTCAGTGTCGGCTTCATCTTTACTTTCTGGAGCTAGTTTTTCACATATATCGTCGATGTTACCCATTCAACTTTTTTAAATACACCGGTTTTCTCTAATGTCCAATTCTTTATCTATCTGTTCAATTGAAGCAAACAGCACATTCCTTTTCTTTTTGAATACCGCCTGAGCATTTTCTTTTGGATGTCATTTTGCCTCCATCTTGGTACATGTTCCCAAACCTGGAGAAAAAACAGTAAGAAATGTTTCCTTAAGATTCTTTACTAATTTTTGGGCTTCTGAGTTTAAATTTTCAACCTTGTAACAGAAAGAATTTATCAGTAGATCCCATAATTGAAATTCTGTTATCCAATTCATACCAAGTAAGTTCGTGGTATTTTCTATGACAAATAGTTTAGCTTTTCACATTTTTTTATTAACGTGACGTTTGTAACAAATTCTCCAATAAATTGTATTTTTTCTCCCGTCACTGACCTTGCGATTTTATTTGTCTTCATTAAAGTTGGTTTCCCCAACTTCTTCCACATATGCAAATTTATGATAGATAGGTCGGAACACGTGTTGAGTTACATTTTTATTTTTTTATTACTTATTTCGACGGTAACAAATTTTCTGGTTATTCCATCGTTCACCTCGTCGGACTTTAATTTTCTTATTTTATTGTCTTTATTTTTTGACCTGCAGTACGAGCTTTTATGACCCACTCTTTTACAGTTGAAACATTTTTTATTCCTAAAATTGCAATATCTGTACCAGTGAAGTTCACCGCAAGCAAAAAAACATGGCTTCGGAGAGTTTTTGTTTATTTTCTCTGGTATTTCACCTTTTGTTTGATAATCTGCAATTTTAGAATTCTTTTTGGTAGATTGACTTTCTTTTTTGTAGCGTATTTTCCTTACAAAAAAAAAACCAGACTGTTCTATCTTTTTCGAATCTTTCTTTACACTAACATATCTTGTGCAGTCTTCTGCCAACTTCTGTATCATAATCCTTGGTTCATTTTCCAATTTTGCCAGTACTAATTTTCTCAATTCTGTGTCTCTTTTCGATACCAGCCCTTGAACAAACACTAAGCACTTAAAATTGTCAGCTTAACTCTGCCAGCTTGAATTCTTCACAATGCTTATTCACATTGGCTGCGTACGTTATATTGTCTTGTTCATCATCTTTCATCAGATTCAAACATTTCCACCTCTTGTGAAACAAAGATGTCTTTTTACTAAATAATTTTTAATATATTTACCGAAAGTAAATGTCAACTCGCTAGTTTTTTTTCAGTAAAATGTAGTTTACCAATTTGTTCTGCTCAGCAGTTCCTAACTTGCTTAAAAGAAGTCTAACCTTCTTTCCTTCAGACCATGAGTGGCAGTCCTTGTTATACACGTCCGTATATTTTTTATAATACTCCTCAAAAGTTATCTCTTCATCTGGACTGTACGTGAATATTTCAATTGAATTCCATATTGTATTCTCAGGGAAAGAATCATTTTGTAGATTTTTCTCTTTCCTCTTCTCAGTTATTTCCAGAATTTTGTTTTGAAACTCCCTATGCATCTGTTCCATTTCTCATTGAAAATGCATTTGTCTATTAAAAGTTTCCTCCTGTAGTTGCATCTGGAATGTCTTCTGTTGCTCTAATATGTTGAGTGGCTCATGGACCTTGTACAGGGTTAACATTAGTGTAAAAAAAAAGACCTCAAATTGATCACAATATATCATCTGTATATATTTGGTTTGGTTGATTTTGTTTAGTGGCATATCAACCTCTAATTCTACTATAAATAGGTATTGCTGGTCATTTTACTACAAATAGGTATTTTTGTTTATTTTAATGTAAAAATGTATTTTTATACTTTCATATTTGGGGGTTCACTATTTACCCATAGCTGGAACCCTAACAGGTGCTACCACCCCAGGTCAACAGCAATTAAGATGTGGTTCTATGCTCCTCAAAACCTCCAATCTCCTGATCAGAAACCTTGCTGCCAGATGTAGTTTATCATCATACCCATCTGTATGTATAATTAATAATATAATAATAAAGTAATAATCAAGCACCAATAGGTTGCCCTATGTAATATGACTTCTATCTGACATGGAATAATTATTTTATTTCTTTACAGGTGATATTATATTAACAGTGAATAACAAACTTATCAGTAATTTTCGTCACAAGGAATTAGTATTGATTGCTGAAAATGAACGCCTGGTTTTGTCCATTATCCCAACTGGAATTAGAGAGAACACAAATACAAATGAATTCAGAGGACCACAAATCAAAACTTCCAAATTTCTTTTTATGAAAGTAAGAATTTTATTTTCAGTACTTAAAAAGAAAAAAAAAATTTAAGCTTTCTTTATTATTCATGTTACACTATTTGATAACAAGCTAAATTCTATTTAATGTATGGAATTTAAAAGGTTGTGTGTTGGAGTGTATTTTAGGTGGGTGCATGTTCATATGTTAACAATTACAGGAGAAGCATACAAAAACTTGGGTTTCTACCAGGGTCTGTGTATTCTCTTTTTACATAAACTGTAGTGAAACAAAGTTCTCAATGTCACGTAGGTTGTCTGTTTTCTTTCTGGTCCATAAGTTAGGGTAAGTAAGTATACACAGCATATTAATGGCTGAGCTCAAGTGAGCCTTGTGCAGAGTTGGAACAACCAAAGAAAATTTTATATGTACATTATTGTTGGAAGGTTTAAACATAGTTATTGTATGTCTGTTTTCTTTTCCTTGGTCCAGAAATTAGGGTAAGTAAGGATAATCATTGTTATAATGGTCAAGCTCAAGTCAGCCTTGTACAGAATTAGAATGACCAAAGAAAAACATGTCTTTCTTCACCATGATTATCGATAAGAGTCCAGGTCTTAAATGTCAGTAGTTCCTCTAGACAAGTAAAGTTCAAGTGCCAAGAGAGAAATCACAGCAGTTTATATTGTATCTCATGGGCCAATTCACCCTTGGCAGAAGGGGATGCAAGTCTTTGCTCCTGCTCCTGCCACTGCTGATACAAACAGTCCATTAAGCTGGGAGGGAGAGATAACTGCTTATCCAGTTACAATAAACAATAGTTAACAGTTATAATGATCAAACTCAAGTCAGCCATGTGCTGAGTTGGAATGACCAAAGTAAAGGTTGATTTACTTTTGGAAGAAACGAAATGGAAAGTGAAAAGAGAGTTCAGTTGACTGAGGAAACAAACATGCCACAGTAGGAACATAATTACCACATGATGCTTCATCTTAGAGCAAATAGGAGAAAGAGAGTGAGGAAGGCAAATGTTAACATTTTTATAGACTTAACCAGTACCGCCTAACAGCATTTGACAAAGCCAAGTGGGGTAATCATATTTCCAGTTCCTATATTCTAGACATCATGGGAAAATGTATTTCTTTTTTTATTATCATCATTATTAGTATCATTTGGTTTTCTCACAAACCCATTGCTCGTAGTGTGAGTGAAACAATATTCAGTTTCTCTCATCAGAGTGCAAAAAATTCACTGAAGATCAAGGATTTGTGGGTAAAAACATTGAGAGTTAAATGCTTGTGAATTAGTATAGATAATGATTGACAAGGTTATCTATGTCAATAAAAATGCTTTCAAAGAAAGCAAATACATGAGAGTTTTAAATTTTATTCCATAAAATCAGAATGTGGCATCATTCTGGGATAGGCATCACACTCAAATTTCACATCAAACCATCAAAGGAAGCCATGTGCAGAGTTGACCTGGTGTTACATTTGGCCACTGAATGCAGAAGTATGTGACCTAGTACCTACATCTGGTATTAAAAATGTGGGGATGAGAATGTTGGACACCTGGATTTATAAAGAACTGACTCAGAGAATTTTAATATTTTTATATAATATATATATATATATATATATATATATATATATATACATACATATATATATATATATATACATACACAATATATATATATATATACATACACACATATATATATATATATCTGTTTATTATAAACAGAGCATTTATTTAAATATTTGTATCTATAAAATGAACATATAAATATAAAAAAATGTCTTAAAATAATTGTCGGACTTTGTCGATTTCGTAATGTGTGATGCCATTTGTTTATATTTGGATATGCATCAAGCAGATATGAATGTACATGAGAAAATCATAGAAAATTGTAGTTTAAAAACAGTAAAATCAACCTTGGTAACCAATACGCACCTCTGTGGTGAAATTGGTAAAAGCACGTTAGGCTATATGATGGTTCCATATAGGATACCTGTTCGATTCCTATCGGAGGACGCATATTTTCTATGAAAATTTCTCAGACATTCAGGCCGGTAAATGTTGTTAATACTGTTTATTATAAACAGAGCATTTACTTAAATATTTGTATCTATAAAAACATAAAATGTAAAAATTATATATATATATATATATATATATATATATATATATATATATATATATATATGAAACAGTTTCTGTGTGACAAATTTTGACCTTTTGACTTCATTGGACTAGGTTTTTTATGTAAAGATTTAAAAAGTTATACAGATTCTATATTCTGATCTGAGACAGAAGTGACAAGGTGTGTCACTTTGATGCTTGTCAGAAAATACTGATACTCTGATTCTAAGCAGAAATTCCAGTCTATATGAAAATAAGCAGAATCATTGGCTCAATAACCTTGCCAAAAAAAAAGATCTTTTCTCTTTCAGTGTATCATTCAAATGGGCTAATTACTCACTTTTGGACAGTAAGTGTTGCTCCAGGTTCTACCATTTTGTAATCAAGAATTCCATTTGAATTCTACTAAAAACAGAGAATTTTTCCTATGCATATTCTATTTTGGCTGAGTTGTTTAAGATCATTGAAAATTTAATCACAATTTTCTTTGCTTTGGATTCATGTAACAAAGACATTCTTCATCACAAGTGAATCTTGTCCCAAAATTACATATTTCTGTCAAGCAAGAAAAGAATGACAAGTGTTTAATTGCTGACTGATGTTCCTTTGAATAAATTCATGGAGAATCCATTTTCCTAGTTTTTGAATTTTTTCTATGGCTTGTAAATGTCATGTGCATAAATATTAAAGAATTAACTTCAATGACACTAAAGATTTCCTTAAAATTATCCAAAAGAAGCTTTTGAGAATTTTTGTATCAACCTAATATATGGCTTCAGTCAAATTGGAGAAATATAAATAAGAAAACTGTGTTACATTAATCATTCAAATGAAGAGGACACATCTGCTTTGAAAATAATCATTTGAAATTCTGGTTTTTACCTAACCTTGTTATAATGAGCGTTTGGTTGCAGAGGAAAGGAACAAACAAGGATTAAATTTTCAACAGCGTGTATTTATCAAAATTTGGAATATGTACATAGTTGTTTGAAATTTGGTAAAAACTGTTTATGTGTGGTTTTTCTGTTGCTGTTTGTCAGGAAATTGATTAGGTGTAAAGTTGTTATCAGTAGGGCTGGAAGTTGACTGATTTCTTGGTTTGGTTGACCAAAGTTACAGTTGGGGGTCAGAGGATAGGTCTGGGGAGTGGGTTAGCCATTGAGGGTTTGATGCATGCCCTCCTTCATGGTTGAAATTGACATCTGTGAGGTGTTTGATGGACTGGCAATCATGTGATACTGAGATGTTGAAGCTGAATTGCCTGGTTAGGTGGGTTGGTGGGTTGGTGGATTGAGGTCACAGTGGTGGGCTGGTGCATGGTTCAGACATATTGGTTGCCAAGGTTACAGCAGTGGCAACAGGGGATTAAGTGTAGATATTAAAGGTTGATTGAACATAAGCTCTCTCATGGATTCTGATCGAAAGTAGTATCAACAAGGTGGGTTCACAATGATAACTACAAGGGAGGCGTGGAGTTGGTTGATTGGGATGTCTCTGTTGGATTCTTGTTGAATCATAAATCAACAAACAGGATCTTGGTGGTGACTAGGAGGAAGGCTTGGATTTGAATAGTGTCTATGTCGAGGTGTTAGAAATCATAGTGGTTGGCACTGGGAGCCTGGTGGTGTGAAACTGAACTGTCAGTTGCATTCTGTGTGTGAAGAGAAGAGTGAGATTAGTGAAGCTTGGGTGAGGTCAAGTTAGACAGGGCTATTTTTACGCAGTCACTACAAGGGGCTATTTTAAGCAAATTTCGTAGCCCCCCCCCCCAAATTCTGGCATTTGTGGACTGGATGTGATGCTTGGAGCCCCTGTGCAGAAAATGACTTTTTTACTTTGTGTTTTTGCTTTCTTAGTGCTCACATTCAGCCAGCATGTACAGTAAGTCAGAAAGAGATCTAATTGCTGTGGAGTATAACAGCTTTGAATTTGGATCATTGGTGTTGGTGGGAAATACAGGTACTAGACCATTTATCAAAGGTCAGAGGTGACTTGCATTTCTGGGTGTTCCATTTTTCCAGACCAAGGTTTAATATTTACTTTAAATATGAAATAACTAAAAATAAATAATAAAATTGTATTTAGCAGATACAAGTTAATCTACTTAAAAAAAAACAAGGTTTATTTAATCAATATTAATTTATGAACCTTTATTTAAAAGAAATTCAACCCTTTTTCAATTTTACATACTGAAAATCTACAATATATTTTAACAATAAAACTATAAAGTTTCTAAATGGAATCACACTTTACTTTATATTGTAGTTTTCAAATTTTAGATTTCATGGCATTAATTAATCTTCATTAAACTAATTTTAGAAATTAAATTGATGAAAATTCTTCAAGAATCTATATTTTTTTTACTAATTATTCACCTAATACAAGTCTCAAGAGCCACTAAGGACAGAGGGTTAATAAGTGAAGTTTTGTTGCATGAAACGTAAAAGTGGAAAGTAAAAAATGCAAATTATGAGGATATGTTGCAACCTCTACCAAATATCACTGCCATTGGGCAGGTCTTGATAATTTTGCTAATGCATACAATACAAGGATAAAATACCAATCTGCAATGTTATTGTTCCTGATCTGGTATCTCAGCTTCCCATTAGTGTAACGTAGCTTCCATATGCCTTTTCTTTAAATACTTTCATAGTAATTGTTCTGATGAACTTTCCTCTATGGTAACTAGATTTTATGAATTTAAGCGCAGTACTAGATTGGTAGCGAGGTTTTATCATTTTATAGTTGAAATGACTAGAAGTAATCATAAGTTCTATGCTAAAAGTTTCTTCTCCATTCTGGAATTCTTTTCTGCCTTCTTGTTTCCCAGTCAATTTTAATCTTCCAAAATATAAATGCAGTGTCAGTCATTATCTTCTGTCTTCTCAATTCCTGTTTTATTATTCTCTCTCCTTAAATGTGTTTTTTTCCATATCCTCTCACACTCAGTAACACCTTGCATCTTAGTGGCTTTATTGCCTTGCTTGGGGTTAAATGATTAAAAAAAGAAATAAAAAATTGGGATAAATTGTAAATTCTTTCCTTTTATTTCATTACTTTTTTTTAAAGTAGATTCCATTCCAAAATATTCTTTTCTGTTTTTAAATTTTATTTTATTTTTTTGTCTAAATTTAATTTTAGGTTGCTAAATATTGTAACAAGGATTACCACAAGAAAATGGCACTGGTGGGAGTCCTGACAGAATATTCTGAAGATTGGGATATACACAGTCTGTGTTTATCTTTGGATAGTCTGTTAAAAGAACCAACAGACCGAAAACTCCTAAAGCACATTGAGTAAATATTTTAATTCTTATTTTTACATAAAATCAAAATAGAAAGTTATTGTTTAAGACAAGATTTGGATGTCTCTATATGTCACAACATGTTCCTTCAAGGAGTAGGTGATCATGACTCCCCACAGCTTCCTTTTTTTCTTTCATATCTCTAAAGTGTACAGTATTATGTGGAAAGACAATTGAGTAATTTCCCATTGCTATCTTTAAAGTTTTGTATTCAGAGTTGACCTAGACTAGTTATCAAGTCTAGAGAACATGTTCTACTCTGCTACTTAAATCATGGCTAATGAGGGAAGAGATGATTTCATGCTTTTCTCACAGGCATTAATACAAAGCAAACAAAAGCTCTCTTAGCTAGAATTTGAACTTGGCTTGTCAATTACATTTTTTTTACTGTTAGTCTTTCTGCATTTTTTATATTGCATTCTACATATTCTAAAACAATGTCTTCTATTAAAGTAAGTTTCTAAAATGTTTTAGTATTTTCTGTAGGTTAAAACAATGTGAAGGGGAGCTGAAAAGTTCTTGACATGACCCACTTCTCAAAAACTGACCAAATGGCTAAAGAGAATTTTGGAAGATATTCTTAGTTAAGCCAAAAACTTTTCAGTACCCCCTCGTACTGAGATAAATACCCAATAAAACTAAGTCTTCAGTCCAGGAATAGCAATTCTGTTAATGATTTATATTAATAAAATCTGAAATAGCTAAATATAATTCCACTAACTTTACCAAAATAGTAAAAAGTATTACATTATTTACATTATTCGGCCAGTTGTCCTCATCTTCATTGCCATATTCACAACATTTCAGCTGTTGTACACTCTGGCCTTCTTCAGGTGATTGAAATTTCAAACCAAACCCTTTATCTCAATGAAATAAAGGGTTTAGTTTGAAATTTATTTTGATGAAATAAAGGGTTCAGTTTGAAATTACAATCACCTGAAGAAGGCCGGAGTGTACAATGGCCAAAATGTTGTGAATATGGCAATGAACATGAGGATAACCATCTGAATAATGTAAATAATGTAAGTAATCATAATACCTCATCTCAGAGATATAGACAGATAGTAAAAAGTATGTTTTTAGAGTTTTATCAAAAGTATAAATTAATTCAAAATGCAAATGATTCCTCTCTTGCCTTCTGGACTAAACAAATGTTAGTCCCTAGTCTTTGTGTTATAAACTAACTAGTTGTTAGTATGATTTCCAAACCAGCATAGACATTTAGTAGCATACATTATGATGTGTTTTGTGATGTATTTTTATTATATTATATGTTGGTGGAAATTGTTTTTAATCTGTAGTGAAAAGTATCTGATCAAAACTAAAATGGTTGCACCTATGAGAAATCACTGTTGACATCTAAATGATCAGGAAATAAACAAAATTTTGGCCAATTCTTATTTAGAAGAAGAATTATTTGATGAGCAAAGTGATGGACATTTTGTTGACAATTCAGGTGAATCTTCATCAGGTAAGGAGGACCAAACTGACAATGATTATCAGCCACCTACCCCATTTCCTAATTGTCATACAAAATAATTATTGTAGCAGTAATAGTGTACGTAAAAGGGACTGTTTCCTTTTTTCCCAAAATGGGCCAGCAAAGCCAGACAACAATGCAGCAGTGAAAATGTTAAGTAACAGAACTGATCCCCATTTTCTACTGATTAAATATATATAAAAACTTGAAGATCCTGATTTTAATACACCTATTGTCATGCAGACAGACAGAATGTAGAATTTATACATAGGTCAATATACATAATTTTTTTTAAATGTTTGGATTAAATTAGTAGATAGAGTTACATTATGAAATCTGACACCAACAAATAATTTACTGTAAATCTGGCACCGACAAATAATTTACTGTAAATAAAATAAGAGATTTTAGCTGAAATTTAAACTGTCAAGATATGTTGAGATGATATAAATATCAATATATCTTGTCAATTTTATCAATATTGTTTGGTTAATACCAATTTGATTGGGAAAACATTGATTTGCATAATAACATGTATTGTGTATATTTGAATTTATCCTCTTTCAGACCATTCATTCCCCAGCACCAAAAAGACATCTTTAAGCCATTGTTGAAGAAGAAAAAACTGTACAAAGACTGCAAACATTTGGCTTATATGCCAAATAAACCAACTCAAAAACTGTGAGTTTGTATCTTATTTCAGTTTTTTAATTGGTATCACCCCATGCAAAGTAGTAAAGCCACTGAGACACAAAGGGTTACTGAGTGTGGAAGAATTAGGAGCAGAAACATTAATAGTGAGCAGGAAGAGAAAAGAGTAATCAGGAGGAGAGTAGATAGCAATTGACATTGCATTTAAATTTTTGCAGATTAAAGCTGGCTGGAAAGCATGGAGCCGGAAGGGAGTTCCATAAGTGAGAAGAGCAAGAAAAGAAACTCTTAGCATAGAAGTTACAGCTACATCTAGCCAGCTCAACTGTGAATTGATGAGATCTTAACGCCACTCTAGAAATGCGCTTAAATTAAAAAAGTCTAAGAATAATGGCAAAGGGCTCATCCAAACAATTACCATGAAATTATGTTTATATGGATATAAATTCTAATCAAGCTCTGTGACATTGCTTTGAGTGGGAAACTTTTAAGTTGAGAGGGTGCAAAAGTAAGAATTTGCACACTTAAATTTAGTTCACATAATTTTTATAGTAGGGTGTGTGCAAATGATTTTTGGGGGAGCCTGCATCTCACTTGGTGATGTGCTTGCTTCTAATATCAACCCAATTAAAATAACATTACATAAGTTTGTAGTCTGTTTTAATTTTATGGAAACTTTTACAGACACCTAACTTGCAAGGTGTGACAATTTAATTCCTGGAATGTTCCCATTAAAGCAAAGTTTGCTAACAATCGTCATTAACTTCACAAGTGGAGTACTTTGAAAGTGACAGCAGCCAAACATGATCAAGTACGCAAACTTTGCTTTCACTGGGCCATTCTTGGAATTAAACTATCAAGATTCAAGGCACTATAGAAATAGACTGCACTAAGGATATTTTTTGCCCAGCACTGAAAATTACTACAAAACCAAAACTTGAGTCATCTTCTTAAATAGCTTCATCAAATTGAGACTGTCATGCATGACACCAACCTTGTTTAAAAATATCTAATCTGTTAGCTGAATACAATTACTCTCTCAGATCAATGGTTAAAAATAGCTTTGAGGAAATTAAACCTGTAGGTCTTAACAAGGATCATCCTTCTTTGAACTTTGTAGATTGGTGTTACAGAATCATAAGCAAATAACTATACAAAATAACAGAAACCACCTCACTTGTGGACTTTCAACAGCAGCAACAACTAAATTGGATAGCATATGTAACTTGACATTCCTTTAAATTTAACATTTAAATCCTAAATTATTTTTTCAATTTTCAAATAAGATATTGTATATCGAGATCAAAATTTTCGATAAACTGTCTGAAGTTCATGTTTTGTTGTTTGTTCAAGTACTTTCAATTGTCTTAAGTCATTATCAAGAACTGGGTCTTGTCAGTGTGGTAGATAAAATTTTGGACTGATTCAATTTTCAGCATGGTAACAAATACCAAGTTGTAGCCAACAAAATCTTGTCTATAATAACTCAAATATCTTTATACATTTCCAGATACTTTATTCAGTATTTAATAAACACAAAGAAAAAAACAAATTGTAACAACAAAATATCATTTTTTTTGTTGTTTTTCTTATAGTGTTTAAAAATTAATTGATGAATTAAAAAATTATCACTTTCACTCCATTTAGAAAAATGTTCATTTATATTTGTAGGAAATTTCGAATACTTCGTGGGGATAATCCATATGGTTTTGTAATTAAAGGCAGTAGTCCTGTCCACGTGGAATGGCTTAATCCTGGAGGACCTGCAGATTTAGCTGGATTGTTACCAGGAGACTTCATTGTTGCTGTCAATGAGCTTGATTCAAGGTAGAGTTTGTTGTATTCAAGGTAGATTGTTATTTATATAATGATTGTTGTATTCAAGGTAGAATTTGTTGTATTTAGTGTCTAATTGCTGTCATGCATTTTATCATTTACATTCTTTCTATAGAATTATTTTAAAGTTCTTATACTTATATGTAGCAGTTAAGCATAAATTTCAAATTCAGATAGTGCCAATGATATCAAAGTATTGAAAAACCCAAAATATTTTTTCTTCTTCCAAGCAACCTATAAATATGTTAGTTGTTTTAAATTTTTGAAAATATTTCACACTGTTAATAATAAAATTTTGGTAATTAATTTTGTGCATTTTTTATAGGAATTTTAACCATGACCAAGTGATAAAATTACTTCAGTTTTGTGGCCCAGTTCCGATAATTGATGTGGAAAGATATGTAAATGCCATTAGTGAAGGTAAAATTCTAACATTTTTATTTATTAAACATTTGAATTAGTTTGCAAGTTTATTTTTTTATATACTGTATGACTGAGTGTATATTGCCTATTTGTTATTGGAAATTAAACTTTCATTCCCTATGTAAATAGAACCATGCAATTATTAATATGCTAATTCTAACTTATTTATCTATAAAAATCATTTGTTCAGAAATAAGGCAATCATTTTGAATATGGTGAAACAGTAACACAGCTTTAGTAAAACTAAACAACCAATCAAAGTTGATCTTACATCAAGAGAAACTCTTTCATCTAATTACTCAGCTAGCAGTAAGATATCATTGAATGAGTTTTATGTATTGTGTAGCCAATCATATTCACAGCAAATATATATCATGTTTTGCTTGAAACTTGGAAATTCATTGTTAAAAACTATCAAAGGATTAAAAGGGATTTTCAATGAGAATTCAATGAGTAAAGATAAAACTTCAGGAATCCATTGATAATTATCCATATTCTGGAAGCAGAATACCTGAAGATGTTGAATACATGTTGACTGCAATCAAATAAAATCAGAAATTGACAATTTAAGAATTAAGCAACCTAGTAATTATTTAGGCCATTCAAAAAGTGCTAGGACATGATCAATATGCAACTTTTATCTATTCTTCACATCTTGCGCAATTTTTTTTTTTGTGAACGGGGAATCCTGCATTACCTAGATCTGTCAGTACCCATAGAGTTGAGTTTCGGCACTTTGCAAATTCTGGCATTTCTCACAAATAGAATTAATGTTGAAAGGGAGAAGATTTTAGATGATGGATGTGATTAAGGAAAATCCAGTGAGGTAAATGGTAGCAATTCTGAAAGAGGACTTTGCAGACTAATTTGAAAAGTGAGAGGGATGCTTGGATAAGTATTGAAGCACTTTGAAGAGGACTAAGTCACTATTACTACAGGTAGGCTACTTTTCTCTAAATATTAAATGTTTTGACCATATATATATATATATATATATATATATATATATATGTGTGTGTGTGTGTGTGTGTTATAGAGTAGTTTCACAGTCGGTCCTAAAATAGGTTTGATGTACAAAACATTAGGAACTTGATATAATAGTTAATGATGCAGCAATCTAGTTATGGTGGTTGATACTTTAATATCTGACTAACAGTCGTCCGACATCGACTGACTCGTTATTATTACTACTACTACTACTACTTATTATAGGTGGGAGAGTCTATTAACTATAGAATAGGTGTGTTCCAGTATAACAATATAGATAGATAGATAGATAGATAGATAGATATTGAGGAAATTGTATGACAAAGTGGAAAAAAGTTTACTTGTGACATGTTTCATCCTTCAGGACTTGATAAGACGAAATTTGTTAAGTTGGTATGACTACACGTGCACACGAACAAGGGGCGGTGGGGATTTAAGAATTTTTTAGATTTTTTTTTATATCTAGCCAAATCCATTTAGTCTTTTTCTTTTTCTTTCTATCACTTTTGTTAGTAGATATTACACACTGTGATAATAGAAGATCTACCAGGAATGATGAAATGTAAGAGCCAGGGCACAAATTTATTGTAGATGACCTTGGGATCTACACATTTATGTTGTAGTGAATTGTTTACTCCTTTGATCAGAGTAGCATTTTTATGACAAAATTGCAGTGGCCAACCACACATTTGACATACACTTTTGTAAAATGTCCCTTTTGTGTTCATATAATCATTTATTTAGATCCCTTGAGGTTTCGCCTAAATATTTTTAGTGACAATTATTACAGATAATGGAGCAAATTCCTCCTTCAGGTTTTAGTTTATTGTTTTGTTTAGTATTAAGTCTCTTATTATTTTGAATGTAGTAGTAACAAAGTTTATGTTAAGTTTAGATAAATTCTTTTTGATTGTAGATGTGATAGAGTTAGTTGGTAGGATAATTCAGGAGGGGCCATTTTTGTTTTGAAATATTTTATGAGCCTTTTATTTTGCATTGAATATAAAATGATTGGGGTACTGGAGAAGTTTGAAAGTGTTTTCAATGTATTTCTCCTCTTTGTCTAAATAATGCAGGCTGCATATTCTGAGTGCTCTTAAGTAGAATCTGATGATTATGTCAGGTTTTATTTTGTTGTTATGAGGAGAATAGAAATCTATTAGGTTGGTTTGTTGGTTGATTTCTGGTAGTCACCAAGTTTTAAACACTGTTGTTAACACAGTGTAGATTGATATGTAGGAAGGGTAAGGGATTGTATGCTTCTAATTCATATGCAAATTCTATTGTGTTTTCAACTTTGTTTAGTTGATCTATTAGGTCAGATAAATCAGTATCATGAGGAAATATAAGTAGATAGCATCATCAATATAACAGAAGTATGATGATTGATTGGGTAAAATATTTTGGAGTTGAACAGGTTTATATTAAGGATGGTCTGAAGTGGATTAGGCTTTATATGGGGTTTGTTATTTATTCTTTTAAAGGTTTGAAATTGACATTGTTGCCTGGTAAGGAGGGTTGGTGTGTTGCTCGATAGAGGTCTTGGTGGTAGGCTGATTCATGGTAAGGTGCATTGGTTGCCAGGGTTAAGGTGGTGACAACTAGGCCTGGACTAGACAGTTAAGGTTAATTGAGTCTCTGTTGGATTCTGATCAAATGTGGTATCATTGAGACTGGGTCATGGTGATGGCAACAAGAAAGGCCTGCAATTAAAGTGCTGAGTGGTGGTGATATTTTTTTGTATATGGCAAGCTCATGGTCAGCTTATCTAAGCATGTCTTTCAGCGTGTATCCCATTCTGACAGATAAAAAAGCCACATTCTTCTTTTCTAGAGCTTTCTTTTTAAACAATGATGGTAATCCCCAGGGTCATTATTTTTTTTGGCAGAGACATTCGTTATTGGCTATTTTAATTTTATTGTGGGGATTTGTTTTGTGGCTCAGAGCCCATGTGTAGAAAATAACTTTTTTTATTTTTTATTTTGCCTTCTTAGCATACACATCTGGCTGACATGCCAAGTGAATCAGATGGAGATCTAATCACAGCAGCGTATAATGTAAATGTATTAAAAAGTCTTTTTTTTATAGTTTTATTTTTTATCTTTCTGTTTTGCAGTGGGAATTAATTCATCATTTGATACTTTATCCAACATTTCTTCAACGTTCAGCGTGGAATCGTTCAATTGGATCTGCAGTGAATTTAGTGATGTCACTGACAGAGAAGGATGGACTTTTAAAGAAAAGGTAACTCCATTTGTATTTATTTAGTCGCAACTATTTAGGGCTAAAAAACGAGCTCTTCACAAGCAACAATTCAATAATCTTTCTCTAAGTCATACTTTTTAAATTAAGCCATAACTGAACTCATACCTACCACCTTTATCGCCTGTGCCATGTGTCCTTGGGCACAGTGGATAAAGGCGTTAGTTAGATCCAGTGACAGGACCCAAAGAATGTGAGTTCAATACCTGGTTAAGGTGGTGGAGAACTTGGAGAGGGGAATTAACAGGAGATAACTGATGACATCCATTAGACATGACATGTGGAACTAGAACAGTCTACCCCAGTGAGTGAAATAAAGGGTTCAGTTCGACACCTAAACCACCTGAAGAAGGCGGAGAGGTACATCTGCCGAAACATAAAAATAAATATGGCGACAAAGATGAGGACAATATTCCAAATAATGTAAATAGGTTAAAATATTATTTAACGTAAATTATTCAAGTCTCACTACTTAACCTTGAGTATTGATACTGAAATGTTGAAAAGTGTGCTTATAAACTAACCTGTTTAATCTTTAGCCAAAATAAAATTTTCAACATATTAATCCATAAAATACACTCATGAATGTTTTTGCTATTTTACCTGTTAAGCACCAAATGACATTCATTGCATAACATCTCCTTTTTGGAATTCTCAACTTGTTTTCATTTTGTCCTCTGCTCACTTGCAAAACCTGCTTTGTAGCAATGCTTTTTAATTACTGAGGAATCTAGAATTACTTGGTCCTTAGATTATACGCCTGAAAAATAAAATGAAAATGTTAATCAAAATATAGATGTGTCAGTAGCATAATGGTTATTGATGCAGAAAGTAGAACGAGTGAATTGAGTTCAAATCCTGGCCTAGTGTATTGAATTCACTTTCACATGAATGCCCTTAAGAAAGGAATATATCCATTTCTTCCCCTTTTCATCAGTTATGGGTTAAATAATAGGGTAGACTTGACTCTCTAACCTTGATTGGCAGCCAATGGAATAAGAATGATTATCACTTTATTTGTTTATTTCTTGCCATTACAAAACTAGAAACATACTGTAAAACAGAAAATTAATTTTCTAAAATTAATGATGTTTATGTCATTGTGTTATATTAATTTATTGCAGATGAAATATCTTCTTACAGCCAAAGAGAGAACCCAATTACAAATGGATTTCCTCCAGTATGTAAATTCAAGGTAAAGTCGTTGCATATTAACACCTTAATATTACCAGCTTTGATTCTGAAAACAATTCTATTTATTTAATAGTATGAAATTTTAATTACCATATTTCTTGGTATGTAAGACCTTTTCCCAAAGAATGGCTTAAAAATATCTCACAGGTTTTATAAGCAAAGTTCACAGAAGCTAATTTTTTCACAGCCACACTAAAAATTAGCACTCACACTTCACCTAATCAAAATATTTAATCTATTACTGACCTCCCCCCCCTGCCCCAAAGTGAGACAATGGCCATTAATGGGCTATAGGTGAAAACCTATAATTAACACCAGATTCTTATTTTTATTTTAACAATTAATGCTGGATTTTCCAGTGGGTATTAATGGGTTAAACGCATGTTTTTCAAAATGAACTTCATCTTTTGTCTTGAAATTATTTGATTAATCAGATTTAATATATATTAGAAACAGAAGAGAGAAGAGAAAACTGAAGGCAAGAGAATTGTGGTTCTACAGAAGGATGCTGAGAATTCAATGGATGGAGAACATAAGCAATAAAGAAGTTTCAAGAAAAATGGAAAGAAAAGGGACACTTATACTCAGAATCAGAATGTGACAGCTGAAATTTCTTGGACATAATATGGAAGGATGGCTTAGAGAATTTGACACTCACAGGGCATATCAAAGGCAAGAAGGGCAGGAGAAGGCAATGAGCTACCTACCTGATGAGCTTGTGTGAATCAATGGTCAAGCAGGAAGCAGGAGGTTTGACAAATGAACAAACATGGCAAAGGGATAGGAGGTTGTGGAGAGCCGTGATCGTTCACGTCCTGAAAGGACATGGCATGTAGAAGAAGAATAAACTCACCATTTGACAAATCCACAACCAAAAAGACCTCACCATATGTGGAATTCCTAACCAGAATGAATTCACCATCCATAGAATCCCTAATCAAAAGGGCTTTAACATCCTTACATCCCTCAAATGAAAAAACTTCCCCCCTCTTTGAAATCCCTAACCAAAAAGACCTCAGCATCTATGGAACTCAACCAATAGGAGATCATGATTCATGGAATCTCCAATCAAAAGTTCCTCACTATGCATGTAATCCTCAACCAAAAGAATTTCACCATCCTTGGAATTTCTAATTGCAGTGTCACCTATATCTGATTGGCTGAATCACAAAATCTATTATAATTTCTGTCCTTATCTTTGTTGCTGTTATCCAGCCTTCACCAGGTGTATGTTGATTCCTTGCAGGTTACTCGTATCAATATACACCTGATGAGGGCTGGAGGACACAATGGCGACACAATGGCGAAACATAATAACATCAACAAAGATGTGGTCAATTGTCTACATGCAAATAGTGTAAATAAAAATATTTATGTTCAAGACCTTATGAAATTAAAATTACTTTTAAATAAGATCAAATATTAATGATATATATTTGAAAGGCAAAGCCACATATTAGTCATATATATTAAATATTAGTTATATATATTTGAAAGACTCAGATACAAGTCTTTAATAATAACCTTATTTCGTAGAGGTCAAAAATAATCAATTTAAATTTCCTCAAAATCATCAAAATTTGAATTATCAGATCATGAGTGCAAAAAATCAATTTAATAAAAATAAAATTAGTCATTGTCTAATGAAATGTTTTTGTCTAATTCATTTACAGTTGGTTTGCCTAGTAAGTTAAATATATTAGAAGGGGGAATTATATCCCTTCTGTCAACAAATGTGTCTTATAAGGTAGAGTAAAATATTTCCAATTAAAGTAAATGTTGAATTTATAACAGTCCAATTCTAAGTTATAATTAATCAAAATTTGTTTTAATTCTTAGACAAAATTTTAAATTCTAATTTTGTCTTTGAAATAAGATGTTCATTATACATTGAGGATTTTTAGATATTTCATTATCTGCTAAGTGTCTTGCAACCTATCTACTGTAGATAATGAGGTCTATGGAAGTTAAAAGGTTACATGCTTGGGCATATTTTATGTTCAATATGTAAATGTTACAAGATGAGATCTTGCCCTGCTTCGATAAACGGAAGTTACCATCACGAGTCCCCGACTCGAAATGAAAACTGCACGTCTACGCATAGGCTTGACGCAGATACTTCCGTTTGGGATAAACTAAAAATAAAATGAAAGAATTAAATCAACCAATCGGACCGTCTCCCACGTAGTCAAAAAATAGGCGTGTATAAGTTCAACACGGGAAAGTCAAAAGGGAGTCCAATTCAACGGCGGAGGCAGAAGGGTCACGTCGCTCACTCCTGACACACTGGCCCGGTGACGAACGAAGCATGTGACTGCTGCTGCTAATGAACTCTCGTCCGACGCTTTGTCAAAGGGTACCTTTCCCCTTCCATAAGTCAAGTTAACTCCACGAACTTTACTTGCCACTACCATAGACACTCAACTTCTTAAATACGAACCTTTTACTTGTTCTTATTTTCCTCACTAAAAAGACTATAAAATATATCTACAGTCTTTCTTGTTCTTTCGATTCTGAATTTCATTGTTTGCAACCAAACGCAGTATTTCGCCCACATTGTTTTCACATCGCCCACGTAACTAAATACGGAATATAACATAAACAAAGAAGAAACATACAAAAACTTGAGTTTCTAATATGGACATTTATTCCTTTTATGGTGACTGTAGTGAAACAAAGTTCTCAATGTCTCTTGCATATTTTCATTTTTTTGTTCAGAAGTAAGTTAAATTTACAATTGTTAAAATGGTCGAGCTGATTTACGCTGAATTGGAACAACCAATTCACTTACTACATGAGTAGGTCTGCCAAAACATGTTTGAATGATGTTGTAGGAAGATGGAAAAGAGAAAGATTCTGTCCTTTCTAGAAGTGGGGTCATAAAATAATGCATGTGACCAAAAACCCTTTCAGGTTTCTTTGTAACTTGCATCATAGTAAAATGAATTTCTTTTTTTAAATTCTTTATAATATTTATTGACTTTATGTTGAAGTATTTAAATACGTATCTGTCTTGGTGAATTTATTTACAGATAGAAGTAAAGGGTGGATCAAAAACATGTGAACATAATTTATGAATATTATAATTAATAAAAATTTGCTTCTCTTTAATATTAAACAAAAATTAGTGGGTTTTTTTCCGAACAAAAACAAGAAAAAAACTAATGAAATTTAAAAAAAATTTTAATTGTTTTTTTTTTTTTAAAAAAAACTGAGTCTCCAGTGAAAATCTTTGGACATATTTAGTAGATGCAATTCACTATTATCTATGAATTTCTCTATCTACGCAGTATCTGGAAACCAATCTACTACAAATAACAAAGTCCTATAGTATTAATGCAGAAGTATTTACATATACTTATGCGTCTCTAGGTGCATATTTATTTACCGATAAAAGTATAGGTGCATCAAAAACATGTGAACATAATTCATCAATATTGTTCTCTCGTCTCAGTACAAAATGTGATTACCCAGAAATAAACCTTTCTTCTTTGATTGCTCAGATTGTCATCATCGGTGGTGGCGGCATCCATCCGTCTCGAGAGACGATGGAGTATTGTGGTGCACTACGAGACTGGGCAGGATATACGGAGAACTAGGGCTGCCTGGACATCTAGTTCCCCCTCTTGGCCTTGCTAGCAGAGTCCAAAGGAGAGGATAAACCAATAGAGTTTGGTACAAGCGTGGCTGCAGGAGTTACCAGAAGGTAGCACAAAGTGCTGTCCCTCCACCTTAGGGGCTTCACTCCGGGTTTGAATTCAGAGTTGTCCTTCTTCTAGACCAGTTGCCATCCAAGGCTATAGAACATGGTCTGTCCTGCTATTTACCCATAGCTGGAGGGAAAAGAAGAGGATTCACACTTTTCCCAAGGGTATTAGCACAAAAGTGAATGTAATGGATCCGACTGGAATTCGAACTCGACTCTTCGATTCCTCAATCCAAGCCGCTATCCATTACTCCACCATGCCTCCTCTTGCTCAGATCAATCATACACTTATGTGTATATTTCTTTTCTTGATTTCAACCTGAACTTATTAAATAAATGTGTGACCTGCCTCATGGCTTGGATTGTTGCATATTTTTCATTTGTGTTGAAAATCAGTGTCAGAGCCCTTGTAAAATTCAAGATTTTGAATGCTTCATTTCAAGAAAGGCAGGCCTTTCTTACATGCAACAAAATGTTCCTATATTGTACTATACTAAGTTAAACTTGGTAAATATTCCTCGGCTATTGCTTAAATAACTAACCTTGGATGATACCCATCTATGAGATTGAAAACACTGAATTTCAAACCAGAAATTACTCTACTACCTTTCCCAAGAATGCATGTTAAACCACTGATTGATATAATGGAATAACCTGTCACCCCCATGAGTGACTACACTATAGATAGTAACTACCCATAAGTATCTGTATGTCAACAAACTACAGAGTCTAACTGCAATCTGTTCCAGCTAAACAGTCAAACTCTCTGCTTTTGAGCAGAGAGGAACCTGGACGAGGCTAAAAAAGGGTACAGTCTCGTTCGGGGAGATAGACTGCTCCTGAACTTGTTTATACAGGTTCAAAAGGGAATAATTTGGGCTGAGCCTACAGGCTCGAAGAACCCATGTTAAACCCGGCCTTGTGCCGCATGAAACCCTTGTGGGAGGGGAAACTAAATATACTAGCTGTGATCTGTTTCAGCTAAACAGTCGAACTCTCTCATTCGGGGAGGTAGACTGCCCCTGAACCCGTTTATATGGGTTTGAAAGGGAATATTTTTGGCTGAGCCTACGGGCTCAAAGAACCCACATTAAACCCAGCCTTGTGTCACATGAAACCCTCATGGGAGGGTGGCTAAATATTCTAGCTGGGATCTATTGAGTATGACTCAGACTTATGCAAGAACTACCAACCTTCCTATAGTAGCACTCACTACTGGATTGACTTGCAACAACCTTGTGCATAAATGTTACCTTTATTCTTATTGTACTGGTTTTTACAATAAACCTTTACTT